GTAAAAAAGTATATGTGAATTTTAGTAGGTATTATAGATTTAAATTGGGACCCTAAATTTCAGCATCAGCCGCGACATTTCTTAAAACTAATATTGCAGTCAGAAAATATACCAAATTAGGGGCCGATTTGTCAGATTGGTGGTCGTATAAATCGCGATTTTATTATCTTTGTAATGGTTAATAATGTTTGGTGACAAAGAAAGTTTTGAAGAGGTTTTTTTTCTTTTTTTTTATTTATACTTTTTTTTGATTTTTTATTTAATCTTTTTCATGGTTTTGGTATATTGTATATTGGATAAATACTTTATAAAAATATAACTTTTTTACTTGTTTAATTTTTAAAATAGTATAATTAATTTTTTATAAGCATGTTATGTATTGCATTTATAAATACCGTAGTGCACTGACCAAAGTACCCCCCTTTCTGAGTACCCCCATGCAAAAGATCCGGGTATTTTGCATGGCGCTTTTTTTTTCACCGAGTATAATATCCGGGTATTTTACAAATTTTTAACAAGGAATTTTGTAAGAGACCCGGGTATATCATATTTATTACAGAAATAAACTAGCACCGCTTACTTTGTAGACAATCACTTCATTTCATAGACAATTAGTTTACAGATAAATTTATTTTACAAAGTTCATTTCATAGACAAATTGATTCATTTTATTTAACCAACAGCTTGTTTCAAAGTTAGTATAAATTATAAGAAAAAACTTGTATCATGATATTGATGAAATAAAGCTATTAGGGGGTTTCAAAGTTAAAATCAGCGAATCTTATTTTATTTTTCCGATTTATAATTCAACATTTATTTTCAAAATGCATCGCATATTTGTTAACTTTAAAAACCCCAATTTGTGAAATAAGACATCTATAAGCAATTGTCTGTAAAGTAACATGAATCCGAATTGAATATTATATGGGGTTTTTGCCTTGAAAATGACCTTACAGTACATGATACTGTAAGGTCATTTTCAAGGCAAAGACCCCATATGATATTTCAGATCAAAGTCTCATAATAAATACGTTAATATGCAAGTCGGGTATCTTAAAAAATTTTTTTTAAAAAAATATCAAGCTGAAAATCAAAAAAATACTCTAATTTTTGATGAAATTTCATTTGATAGCAATATCCAATACGATGCTTTATTTGATAATAATGACCCAAATATAGCCTTAGCTTACAATTTCAAAAATTTATCACAAATAATAAATGCTTTATGTTGACCTTTCTACTTCATTCTGATTGCAATAACAAATCTCTGATTTCTATTATTAATAAATCATATCTATTAAAGAAGTTCATGCATAAAAAATAATATAACATATAGAAATTTACTTACAAATTGAACATTAATTCCAGTCTTGAATAACAGTTAATTCTTCACCTTCTTCATAATAATGGTCATAAACTATTCTATTTTCATTTGCATCTTCACCTTCACTTTCGTTTGTATCTTCACTTTTATGTTCATTTGTATCTTCATCTTTATATTCATTTGTATTTTCATCTTTGTCTTCACTTTCATTTGCATCTTCACTTTCACTTTCATTTGTACCTTCACCTTTATTGTTATTATCATCTTGATTTTCAGGTTCTTCTTGGCTTTCAATTTCTCATTTCGAATTATTTTTATTATTAATTCATATAAAATCAAAAATTAGATCATCCTTGGTTCCATCTATTGTATTTGAGATTTCACAACATTTAAAAGACTTCCTAACTAAATTAACATCAACAGCTTTTCAAGCTTCTTTTACCCAATTAGCAACTAAAGAATAGGAAGGATGCTTCAATTTGCCTGACTTGGTATATTCTTTAATACCTTCATCAAACTATTAATTATAGATCTTTCGCATCTATTTAAAATATTATTAAATTTAATTAATACAACTACAATATCAAATTTGCAGATACAGTAGGACTCTGAAATATATATGGAGAGGTAAGGTTTTACAAAAATTACTAAATTTAGAAAGATCTGCAGAAAAAAGTCAAAAATAAACAAACTAATTACTATAAATGGAAATAATCTGTACAAAAAGGATCAAAAATAAGCAAACTAAAACCTTATCCCTACATATATATTTTGGGGTCCTGATACAGTAAAATATATTTATAAAAAAAATAAAAATAAATAAATATTAGTTAGGTTATACTTTTGATTTAAATAACTTGTTCAAAGAAACATTAAAAGTTATAAGCGAGGTGTTAAACTACGAGAAATTATAGCCAAATTAGTATGTTTTCTACAAAAATGACACTTAACAAGCTCTGTTTTATGATCAGCGAATAAATCCAAGATCAACAAAAAACGTGAATTGCTTCCAGGTTGTGCTCATCGGGTCCAAATATTTTCCACCTACTATAACATCTTATTTTCATTCATCTACTCTAAAGAGTTAGCACAATATAACAACACTATCAAGTAATTTTTCACGAGATACATTAACTAGTTTAAAAATTATTACAGGTGGGAGCTTAGTGCCATCCACCAAGCAGGCTAAAACAATTGTGAAGTTCGAATTTTCATACCCAGTAGATGCAATTGCAATAGTTTTAGTGCTTTTTTTTTCAATAGTAGTATTATTTATCATATTAAAAGCCATAGCAGTTTCGTTCATATTTCCAATTAGTGACAAAGGATAATTATTTTTTTAGCGTTTATAAAGTACAAGAAATAAAAATTTATTTTGATTTTCAAAGTAAGTTTCAGGAAGATGCTGAGCAGTTGTAGTGTGCCTTTGGTTCACCAAATTATTTCTTGACATAAACCATCTATCTATTTTTGAGAAAATTTATAATTTACAATTCCTCAATATCTTTCTTGGAAGCAAAAAGTAGCACAAAGAGTGCAAGCCTTTGCTTGAATCATGTACCAACTTACAGTTTTATGCTAAGATTGGAGCCTCGAAACCATTCAATTAATTCAGCTTCAAGTTCAGGATATTTTGGTCTAGCACCAATTGACAACTTCTGAATATATAGTGCAGCTTTCAAAAGATTAAATTTTTTACCAATCTATTCTCTAAATTGTTTTGGTTGAATTTGAAATTCATCGGCAGTTAAGTGTTTACTATGTCCTTTTCATAGTAAGTGATTATCATTAATTTTTCTTATACTGATCATGATTTTTTTTTTTTATTTGTAATTTGTAAACATCAAGTCTTAAAATTTCCACAGACCATTATGCAAGATTTTGATAATGGAGAGTTCCATAAGATGTGAGAATTAATGTAATACTAATAGGTATATATATAGTATAGGTGTTTTTTTTCTTTTTCATTTTTTTTTATTATTTATTTATTTTTTTTGGTTTTTTTCTTCTCCCGCTTTCAGAAAATCAGTCTGGTGAATTAACTTTTTACATTTCACGGATCTGCAAATGCTCTTTGACATTTATGTATTAATAGTTGGCATGAATAGATTTGATTTTAGTTCTAAAGAAATAGAAAAAATAATAATGCTGCTAATAAATTTGAGCATATACTAGCAGGTGTGTGCTTAATTGTTCTTTTTTTTTTTTTGATCGTAATAAATCAGCTTGATATTACATACCTGTATGATGCTACTATATGTTATGTAAAATACTCTTCCATCTAAAATACCCCTATATCAAAGTATCCCCGAATAAAATACCCCCTATCAAAAGATCCTACCGTACAAAATACCTGTTATTGAATGAGATACCCACAGATATTTTGTAAGTTTTTTGCCAAAGTTTTTGTATTAGGCCCCGGGTCCTTTGGTCAGTGCATTATGGTATATATATATATATATAGTCAATCCTTTATAATTACAATGTGCATAAACTATAGATGCTAGTGAAAT